CTGGGCATTGCGGAGCATAATAATCTGCATGAACATATGTCTGCCAGCGCGGACCTCAAGCAGTGTGTTTCTATCTGGTCTGCGCAATCTAAACGGTACAATCTATGTGAGTCTAGTTATCTGGATCAATTTCCATTTGGTGCAACTTTTTTTTTCAAACGAGTTGACACATACACGAGTGGACGCATATAGCACATCATGGATTGCAACACGCATGGTGCTTCTTGTCACGTTGCACAGCTCATGTTGCAATGCACTAGCTGGTTTGGGCCCACTGTGGGTAATACACACTTGTAGTTACGTGTATAATTATACATATACACGCATACACATATACGTATACATGTACATATATGCACATACGTCCATACATATACATGCACATATATATATATATATATGTATTCATTTATGTGAATCTGTATGCATTTGTGTGTCAAGCCGCGTGGACCTCAAACAGTGTTTTCTGGCATACTTTCTACGTGGTGCAACGTCAGTGGTGCCACCTATGTGGTTCGATTGTTCCCCACAAGCGAGTTGACAAATCCCACGCTTTTGCAAACATCCCACCCACCCACCCGCAATTTGGTTTACAAAACCCATCCGGCGGCGATTGCGATGAGTGCTTGGCGTTGGCTGGTGCATCTCTGCTGCCGCGCTAGCCCGCGCACGCTCGGGCGCACAGCGGCCGGCTAGTTTGGCGCCATCGACGCGGCCGCGGATGCGCTGACCGCTGGGCACTCCCCAGCGGCACTTCTGTGCGAGTCGGTGAAGTTGGCGGGCGCGGTATCATGGTGACGTTGACAACGGTAGTCACGATTATGAGACTAGCGATGATGGTGGCGATGGTGGCGATGACGGCGGCAAGGCCAATGGTGGCGCCGATTTTGACCAAGGCATCGCCGATGAAGGTTTTGAAACGAGTTCGGCATGCGCGCTCGGCCGACGCGCGCGAGTTGCCCGCGCGGTATCATTTGCCACGCATCGTGCCCCCCCCCCGCAAGCGCGCAAGGGCGCTCGATTGATATGGACATGCGGCGCGAGAGACCCGCTTGGCAGATTTGTTTGAACTTTTTCGAAAACCCATGGGGTTTTGAACAAGCTCCGGTTTCTGTGAAAGCTGAGGTTGCAAAATCATATGTCTTTACATATGTTTTCGGGGCGATCTGTTTTCGTTGGATGGAAAGGATTTGGGCAGGCGCGCTCGACGACGCGGACGCGTGCACGTCGTTCCATTGTTCGCAAGTGTTTATCGCGACATCGCGCGCGCCAGGGCGTTCGAGCGACGTCGGCGCGCGCGTGCGAGAGGCCCGCTTTGTAGCATGCGACGAACATGTTGGAAACATGTGGCTTTCATGAAGAGTTCGCCAAAGCGCGGGCGCAGGGTTTTATTTGAAAGCCTTCGTCGCGAAACTGTGTGTTTTATCTGTGTTCGGGACGCTCGGTTTGACATCCTTACGAAACCCTGAGGTTCTTGAAAGATTTCGGCATGCGCGCGCGGCGACGCTCATGCGTGCACTTCGTCTTGTTTCGCCAGGGAGTATTGAAAACTGTTGGTCGCTGATAGACGAGCGCGCGCGCATCGTATGTTCTGCAAAAAATGGGGGGGGGCGGGGGGTCCGAACTCCGGCCTGGCTGGGATAGCATGGATTTATATTCAGCATGGACGATGGGGCAGAATCGAATGCAAACTGCGACGCGCCGTTAACCCCGGTGGGAGGGGGGGGAATTCCAATATTCGTTTAGAAAGGATAGTTAGTTAATTTCGGTTCGCAGCGAGTCGCCCACTCCACCGCGCGCGCAATCATCCCGCCCGCCCGTCCGCAACTTGGCTTGCAAACCCATTCGGCTGCGATTACAATGAGTGCTTGGCGTTGGCTGGTGCGCGTCTGCTGCCGCGCTGGCCCGCGCATGCTCGGGCGCGCAGCGGCCGGCCAGTTGCGCGCGACCGACGCGACCGCGGTGGCGTCGGCGCGCCCCCCCCCCAGCGCGCGCGGGGGCGTTCGCGTGATCTCGACGCGCGGCGGGAGGGCCCGGTCTAGCCGAACGCAATGGGAACGTTGAGCAACCGATGGTTTTCTTGCGGATTCGCAGGATCGCGAACGCAGGCGCGTGGGAAAATTGCGTTGCAAGACCATGTTTGTTTATCTGGTTCGGGGCTGTCGATTTTGAAATCCCCCGAAACGCATGCTTCATGAAGGATTTCGGCATGGGCGCGCGACGACGCGCGCGCACTTTGCCCCATTTGTCCAAGGCATTCCTGCGACATCACACGTGCGCGAGGGTGTTCGAACGATTCCGACGCGCGCGCGCCCGAGACGCCCGTTTGGTAGCGAAGTTTGGCAGCGTCGGGGACCCTTGGCTTCTACGGAAAAAGACTTCGCCTGAGCGCGGGCGCGGGCTCTTTTATAACACTATCCCGCTTGCGAAACCATGTGTTTCTTTTCGTTCCCGGGGCGCTCGATTGTGGGATCCACGCGAAACCGAGGGTTCCTTAAGGTATTCGGCATGCGCGCGCAACGACGCGCGCGTTTCGTTTCGTTTTTTGGGCAAGGGGTTCTTGGAAACTGCGGGAGGGTCGGGGGCGACGCCGGTTTGCTTAGGGCGGCAAGAATTTGAGGATGGGCGATGGGCCGGATCAGATGCAATCTGCGCCGCGGGAAGTGGCGCCGTTAAGTCCGCGAGGGGGAGGTGCATGCTAACATTCTCTTAGGAGAATTAATCCACCCTGCCGAATTTGAACTGGCCCAATCCACTGCTCGCGCAATCGCCCCGTCCACCCGCCCGCAACGTGGTTTGCAAAGCCCGCGCGGCGGTGATTGCGACGACTGCTCGGCGCTGGCTGTTGCGCAGCCGCGGCCGCGCTAGCGCGCTCTTGCTCGCGCGCGCAGCTGCCAGCTAGTTCGGCGCGACCGACGCGGCCGCGGCGGCGCTGACCGCTGGGCATTTCCCAGCTGGCACTTCAGTGCGAGCCGGGGACTCGGGCGGGCGCGGCACCGTGGCAACTTCGACGTCGGTTGACGCGATGACGATTGCACCGGTGTTGGTGGCGATGGCGACAACGGAGACGGCAAGGCAGCGACGGCGCCGATGCTCATCGCGCCGACGACGATGGCGGCGCCCTCGCTTCGGCGATGAAGGTTTTGGAAGGGGTTCGACATGCGCGCGCGGCCGACGCACGAGAGTGGCCCGCGCGGTTCTATTTAACGCGGATCGCGCCTCCCCCCCCCAGGCGCGCGCAATGGCGTTCAAATGATGTCGACGTGCGGCGCGAGGGGCGCGTTTGGCCGCTGTCATTGGACACGTTGAAAAATGTAATCCAATAGCCCTTATAACGGCGACGATGGAACACAGTGCCGGGGAACTGCTTTGAACATCACCAGTCGTTCAAAGCAGTGCCCCGGCACTGCTTTGAACGATGCGGAAATGCGATCAGCAGGAGCCTTCGTCTGTTCCTTCTCCTCTTCTCGTCGCTGTATGCTCTTCCTTGTCCCCCCTCCTCCCCCGTTCCCTCTCTAATTAATTACCTCGTTCTCCCAGTCTCACGCGCACTCTTCCTCCCCCCTCTCCTCCTCCTCTTCCTGCTTCTCCTCCTCGTCCTCCTCCTCCTCCGCCTCCTCCCCCTCATTTGTTATATTTCTCCGTCCTTGTCCTCCTGTCCCCGTTCTCCTTCTCCCTCTCCTCCTCCTCCTCCTCCTCGTCGTCGTCGTCCTCCTCCTCTCCTCCTCCTCCTCCTCCTCCTCCTCCTCTTCCTCCTCCTCCTCCTCCTCCTCCTCCTCCTCACCTTCTTCCTCCTCCTCCTCCTCCCCCTTTTCCTCTCCCTCCTCCTCCTCCTCCTCCTCCTCCCCCTTCCCCCTCTTCCTCCTCTGCTATCACTCCTCCATAATTCCTGTCCGCTCCTCCCCTTCACTGATCTTCCTCTTCGTCATCATCATCCCTTTCGTCGCACGCCTCTTAATCCTCAATCGGTTCCCAATCTTCTCGACTTTCTTGTCATCCGCGTCCTTGGCTGTTGGAGGGGCCTCAGGAATTCTCAGGGCTCTTGTGTTGCACGCGAAGGCACACCTCCCAGGAACGCATCATCCTCCTCACATTCACCCTCCTCCTCCTCATCCTCCTCCTCCATGCACGTTCGGCTCAAGCCCGCGCCGACGGTAGGTTTCACGGCGGTTGGGCGGGCTCGCGCCCGCCTCCGCGGCCTGCAGTCGGGGCAGAGATGCGTGCAGGGTGGGATGACAAAGCGGAAGAGGAAACACGGGCCGCAGTTGCGGATTCTTCAAAGAGCAGCGGCGGCGGTTGGGGAACAAGTGGGGGTTGGGGCGGCCGCAGTGGCGGATACGGCGGCGGAGGTGACCGCAGTGGCGGCTGGGGCGGCGGAGATTCTCTTGGCGGATGGAGAGGAAAAGCGCAGGATGGCGGCGACGGAAGTGACCGCAGTCGCGGATGGGAGGGCGGCGGATGGGGCGGCAACGGATGCGAGGGTTGGGGAATGGAGGGCGCCCGCTGGTGGGACGACGAGGGTGGCTGGTGGAATGCATGGGAAGGTGGCCGCTCGAGTGCCTCGGCAGGTTCTCCTGCCGCGGAGCCCGCGGCCGCAACAGCGGCGGGCAAAGGAGGCGGTCCCCTGCTTCCCCCAGGGCGCGAAGAACAAGGCGCAGTTGCGCTGTTTCAAATTGTGCGCAATGAGCCGCTGCCAATTTTCAAGTTGGAATTCTTCGAGAACTTCAGGGCGAACTGGAACGGCAATTATAAGCAGCACAACGCGGCCTTGAAGTGGTTCCGAGACGAGTACGAAGACCGAGAAAACCCTTTCGGCAGCCGCACGCCCGTCTTCGGAGGTACCGCAGTTGCGGAGGAAATTTCGAAGATCCTTAAGTACCGCGCAAAGGGGAAGGCGCAGGACAACAGGGATTGGGACTGGGACCACACTGTCAAAGTGCCGTGGTCTTGGCTGGAGATGGTCGCGCAGATGGATGGACCTACAATGCTGCGCGTCGTGT